CCTCTGGTAATCAAATGTGGCAATCGAATGTGGCAATCAAGAATTCTCTAGCAATGGAGGCTTATAGCTGGAAAAACCATCTATAATTGGTGGATTTTCCAGTGCCGTGCTTGGTTACCGGAGGGTATGTGGAATAAATTGACCATTTTATTGGAAAAAAATGATGCTCTAACCGGATCTAACCGGTGGATTTTTTCGGTCTAAACACATCTGGCCTATCCAGTTCAAGAAAAGCGAAATATCTGGTTCTAGGTTCCTGGGTGTGATACGATCCATCTGGGACTTACATTCCCAAATCTATATGTAAGGACTATTCAATCTCATCAGGAAATCTAAACAGAAATCAGCAGTCTAGTTGGATCCGCCATGGACGACGCCCAAAGTTTCAGCTGTCAGGGATGAACAAGTTGCATCGGAAATCCCGACACGTGTTGCTTGCAATGATGTAACTGGTTCAATGGGATTATGATTCATGGAACTCCATGAATAAGACATGAATTGCGACAAAAGTTACACGTAATCCATAAATGAATCTCATTTTCTATACTTATGAATCAATGAAGAATGGAAAAAGGATGAAAATTGGTTTTGTGTTGCAGGGTGTGAAGAAGGTCTGAGCAACTGGTTTCATCAAGCCTTTTGTCTTTCATCTGGCTATTTGTGATCTGCCTATTCGCCATGGTTCAACACCCACCAAACTCATTCAAGACCCTTTTGTTCACACCAAAAGAACTGGGATTTATGAATGTTCGTTTCCTCCAAAATGGTATGAGAAGTACACACCCAGAGCCCAAAATGGTTAAACTCCTATCCCACAACTCTCCACTGCGCCTGACACCGGAGTCGTAGCATTGGCACAATGCACCAGGCTCTCCGTGCCCGAGGGAGCCTCGCCCAAGGTGTGGCTGTAGCAAACATGCTATTGGCGCTCGTGAAAATAGAAAAAAAAAACTAACAATAACTATATGATTCACTATCAGAAGTCCTTTGATAACAGATTTTGTCCTATGCCTGCATGGTCGAACATCTGTTGCAAACATGTTTAGCAGCTTGGAAAAGCGTACGACATGCAACGGAAACCCAACAATTCCATCCGTAAGGAATCCATGCTCTTGTTGGTTCTTCACCCATATGGTTGTGTCTAAGCCTGTACAACCTGTATATAGTTCACATCCCAAAGAAACGGGCAACTGGCCGAGATGTTCCCTTACCTATTTTGGTGTAGAATGGGTTTGGAACCATCCCCGAATGGTACGTTTCAGAATGCGATTTTTTTTCAGAACTTCAAGGTTCATCCAAATCACAAATTTTAATCCGGTTATATATATATATATATATATATATTTATCTATATCTATATCTAATCATCTACATATCTAAATAATATGTTTATATATAGCCATATCCTGGGTCATTCTGAAGTCACTCTCAAACATTCTCCCCGGTTTTTGAGACAGGTCCCAGCAAGGCCTGGCAACACGCGTCGCAAGCCGCAAGCAACAGCAGGCCGCTGCCCCACCTGGACGAAGATGGTTTGTAACTAGGAGCACGGCCTCTCAATGGCCGTGTGATTTTTTGATTCATGGGAAGTTGCCGATGATATTGGATGTGCTCGTGGAAGTAGGATTTTGCGTTGTTTTTGTGTAAAGCCTGTCAACGCCTTATTTACATGCAGCAGAATGAAAAGAACTATTTCGCCTATACGAAACCTGCATTTTTGTCGATTCTTCGCAGCCCGCAACTACTTGGTTTCCACACTTTTTTAGCCGTCTTGTGTTCACAGCAGCGCTTCAAGTTCTTCCAAGAACCTTTTAGGATTTGGATTCTTCAAGGTTGATCGACAGCACCACAGGAACACATATTGTCGCAGGGGTGGGTGCAAAGTGGAATGCCCACGCTCTCTGCACTTCAAAAACATGTGAGCTGGCAAGAAATCTTTCAACGACTTCCAGGACCGGTCCAACGTCTGGGTACCGGCAATGTTGGAGATGCCTGGAAAACAACTTGGGATCTGAAGTGAAATTGTTCACTTGATGAACCACACTTCACGCCTGGCAAGTTCACATGAACGTGAATACATGCCCCAACCGACAGCCACAGCGTAGCATCTACTTCATGCGCAAGTTCACATGAACGTGAATGCATGTCCCAACCGACAGCCACAGCATAGCATCTACTTCATGTGCAAGTCCACATGAACGTGCCACGGCCGTCTAAGGGCCGTGGTCCAACTAGGCTAACTAGTTTTTTTAATGGCGAATACATCTATGATTATCATTTTACAATGGGTTCATAAACCAACTTATCAATAATTCTATAGTTGGTTATCTATGGTTAGTTCTCTAGGAATAGATTGCATATAAACCAACAAGGACAACTGGGGGCCCTTCTTGTACCAAGGGGGCGGCACTTCTTCAGCGAAGCCTCCTCAGGTATCTTGCAGGCGATGACGATTACCCTCTGGTAAACATACAAAAAACTATGGAAAACCACCATGTTTAATAGGTAAATCAACTACAAATGGCCATTTTCAATATCCATGTTAGTTTACCAGAGGGTATAGCGATTTATATATGTTGATGTCCTGTTCTTTTCAAGGAGACTTGGTTGTAATCCCCTCAGTTTAGGTGGTCCAAGGAAAATCCGACATTTTGGTTCCTTAAGTCTCCCATCTTATGTACCCCTAAATCAACTGGTTCGTGATCATTTGCCCAATGAAAATGGCCATGTGGTGGGTTTATCTCATCTTAGACACGCCCAAATATCATAACGTTGGTCATATAATCATATATTCACACTATATCCCCATGATATCCTCATTTCTGGTTGGTTTCGTAGCTATCTTGGTGCCTTCAATCCCTACATTTTGGATGACACCACGGCGTCACCAAGGCAACACTGCCTGCGCATGGCAAAGGCTCAAAGCCATCCCAGGGCTGCGCCATCAGAAATGACATGTCTGTGCATACGTAGGTCATGTATGTATGTCTGTCTGTCTGTCTGTCTGTATGTCTGTCTGTCTGTCTGTATCTATGTATGTATGTATGTATGCATGCATGTATGTATCTATCTATGTATGTATGTATCTATGTATCTATGTATGTATCTATGTATGTATCTATGTATGTATCTATGTATGTATCTATGTATATCTATATATATATGTGGGTATGCATATTGTTGTGCATGCACATAGATATACACAATATAGATATAGAGCGCAAGAGAAAGAGAGAGAGAGAGAGTGCGAGCGCGCGCGTGTGTGTGTATATATATATATCATGATTTACAAACCTGAGGAAGTTTCGCTGCACAATTTCTTCTGTTTCATTATTTCGAGTGACCTCGCTGTCGATTCCAAAGCGAAACTGAGACCACAGGCCACGGCCCGCGCGCAGTGGAGTTGGTGCCCAGGTTTTATCGGTGGATGAACATCTCCATGGCAGCCATAGCCACAGGCATGGATCAAATTGTCAGTGAACGAGTGAACAGTGAAACTAAAACCGAAATATCACCAGAATAATGGTTTTTATATAGCTATGAGTCACTTCCCTGGTACACCAGTGAACATCAAAATAGCTCACCAATGGATGTTCATCCCCGAAATATGATAATCATAGTTTTTGACCCCTTGGGAATATGCATCTATATTATATATATATACACAGATAAGTATAGTCCCCTATAATACGGAAAAAAATGTGGCATTCCATCGGGATTCTCACTCAGTTCATGGATGTTTTGAGAATCTCCATTGCGTTTTTCAAGGGTTGCCGGTGCCCCCTATGATCATTCAACTTCCCATCCAAGCTTGCCATTACGAAAACCATGTGGAACCTCGGGTGAAAAAATGGACCCACACCCAAATTCCTCCATCAAACTATCCATGTCTACCCAATGATTTCTCCACATTTCCCCACCAGAAAAAACAAACTTCCCTCGTCTCTTACCAGTGGTAAACCCGTATTTTTCACTTTATAATTAAATGTCTAAAATCAGTGAAAAATCCGACGTGTTTGGTGAGATTCAACCCACCTTTTCGGTCTAAAATCCCCAAAAAGCCCCAGAAAGCCCTGGGTCTCGTCTCTGGTCCTCCAGAAATTCCACCTCCGCCAATTCCACGTGCCCAAGCAGCTCGCTGTGAAGCACCTGGCACATGGGGAGAAGCCATCAGTCTGGTGAAGAGCATTGATCCAACTACCCTCTGGTAAATCAACATAGACCCTGAAAATAGCCTAGTTTTAATGGAAACTAATCTTCCAACCTCTATCTGCCAGGGTCTTTGTTAATTTACCAGAGGGTAATATTCATAGCTTATTCATGGTATAGTTAGATCAATCATTATTGTTAATACGACTGTGTGATTATTGCTAATAATGAATGGTATAAAAATCTGTGGGTAATAAAAGTGTCATCCGTGTTCATCACGGTTAACAATGGCAATATCAATGAGAATATGGTGTCATCATATTAATGGTTAGTTATCATTGTTGACAATACTCAGCCAAAAACATTGACAATGATCATTATCAACATCACCCAAGAACAATCATGATGAAAAATATGGTTATTGTTTGATGTTAAATATATGTTGATTTCTGTGAATATCTTGTTGAATATATGTTGATCATGGTTGCTCAAAGGGGCCACCAACCAATACAAAGCGGTTCGATCATTTTCCTACAATGGCGGGCAAGTGAAAATCCATGGAAAATTCTGATCAGAACGATGAACAATATGTGGAAACCTGCCATGCTAAGATTCCATCCAGACAGGATTTTCGCATGCGAAGCAGGGCCATCTACTTCGCTCGAACACGGTGGATATCCGGCTGGTGGTTTCAATCCATTCCCTTGAGATGATCATATCAGGTAGGGCGAAAAGATGTGTGAAACCACCAACCAGATACTGGTTGGAGATTGTTGACATCTACTACATTCCCATTCCACGGAAATCTGCGCAGCACGCATTTTTCGCCCAGTCGCTTTTTTCCCGGTCAGTGCATCGCTAAGAGGGTCAATGGAATCCAATGGAGCCAAACAGAGGTTTTTAGGGACCAGGATTTGGGATCTTCAGCAAGGCTGTTGTTGGACCTGCAGTAGATGTATTCCTCAGCAGCGGGAAAGCCACCCGGCAGTGATGCTACAAGGATCATTTGCCGCATGGAACTCCACGTCATTTCCTCAATGAATATCATGATTGAGATGAACTGTAAGCACTGCTCAACCGCCTGATGTTGCACTCAAATAATATGGGAACATGCCACGTTAGTAGCAACCCCGTCTTGGATGGATTGGCAGACTCTCTTCTACATAGACCCTCCGTCCATCCAACGTAGCAATCAAGAATTCCCCATGTGAATATAGATGATTTCCCAGGTGAGAATGATGCAGCTACCACCCCAACAGGGCGAACCTTTCCGAAAATCTGTCTTCCAAGTAATTAATCCACGCGAAACACTTCCCAAAAGACCCCAATGACAGAATTTCCTCAGGCTTACCATGGAGGATAAAGGTGGTCATTTGACTTCAAATCTAAGATAGTCTAAGTAGTTGATTACCACAAGTCATCCCATCCTCCTAACAAACAGAACCTCCGAAACAAGCTCCCCTGCCGGAGTGTATTGGATCTATTCATGAATTGGGTATGTTGGCCATATATCCCCATTTGAACAGGCTTGAACCAGCATGTTAAACCTCAATTCTTCATAGTTCAACCCCCGCCATAGATCCAAATTCTTGCTTGGTAAATCCCCTTTTTAAATCCCTGGTTTTTGGGTGAACATTCCCATTGATCAAATTTCATGGCCGAGTCGCAGTGTACGGTCTCAACTCGCCCCAGCCACGGAAGTTCTCGCTATGGCCCGGCACATCGCTGATGAGCTTGCAGATGTCACCCTCCAGCCGCAGACCTACCTGGCATCGGAGATCCATAATGGAAACGAACCCGCTTAAAGGTGAGGCCCCGTGAACACGAAATCGCTAAGTTGCTGCAAATAACTAGGTGAATTCTATGGTTTATGGTCAATATATGGAGCTAGTTCATGGGTTTATAAACCCTACTTATAGCTGAGGGGGGCTGCCTTGTATGGTTTCCCAATTAAAATGATCTGCGAATGGTGGCTTTTCCACACCTATGTCGCTGGAAACTGGAGGTAACTCTTGTGATATGTTTCTTTCATCTTAGGTGTTCAAAAAAAAACTTGTATGTGTTTTTAGAAACGTAACACCAACAGTAAGAGTTACCTAAGATGAAAACCATAAACCTAAGATGAACCAAACCAAAACCTGTCCGGGAAATAGAGGTGGTGCACCAGGGCATTCTCCTTGCGTTTCGCCCCTTTTTTTGGCTGGTAAAACCTTGATTTCCTGCAGAAGTTCCCTTCAACCAAGCCAAAGATCCTGGAGCATATATTATGTATAATATATATGTATACATGTGTGTGTGCATTGCATATGCATATGCACATAAATTACCTATTCTTATCCATTCGTTGTCCGTCTTCTCTTTTGTTGACCCAGAGGGAATGGTATGGGCCATGGGTCAAAAGAAAGCATTGGCGCCCAAAGCCACAAAGATTGGCGGTACATTTAGCACCAAAAAGTATAGTTCAGTATGTGTATATATATATAGTAGTACAGAAACAACAATTTTAAATTTAAGTCCAGAACTACAAAATATCAGACACTTGTAAGTCTAAGACCAGAACATTTTTGTTATATAGTAGTATAAATTAACACTTTGTTATGTAAGTCCAGACTTGTGTGGCGAACTGGAGATTCCACCCTAAACCCACCTGTACCCACTGGATACTGTTGTTCTGATCCCCGGTGTTCACCACGGGCGTCCACATATCCTTGCCTCAGCGCGAACTGGAGCTCTTTTGACAAGGTCATTGCGGTCAGACCGGGCAGCCCCAAAAAATGGAGAAACATGGGATGTTTTGGAGACCACCAAAGTGCAATAAATGCTCCCAATCTTCACCCATACCCAAGTGGTCTCATCCTAAGAATCCGAACTTGTTTTGATGCGTCAGCCAGAGAAGCATCTGATCAATTTCCATCTTGTTGTATTGGTTTTAACTGGTCGGTTGGTAGTGATTTCCATAATGAAAAATCAGAATCTCCGTGAAACTCAGAAAAAAATGAAAAATGGCTATGACGATCCACCAACCAGGTTCTCAGTTCGTGCACTTCTCATCTGATACACATTGTCCAAGAAACCCATGAGAAAGCCTCTTGGCTCACCTTCCATGAAAACTCCGGAACTCGGAAGGTCAACCTTCCAAAACACGCCCAAACTCGAAGTCAGCTTCCATCTTCCTGACTTTCCCATTCCATCCAAGCTGCCAAGTTGTGGTACTGAGGAGGTTTTGCCACTGCCTTTGGGGCACAGATCTGCCCAGCGCGCCAACTTCATTCCCTTCGTCTCGCAAACGCTGGCGGCCTGGAAGATCGGTTTTTTGAATTGGTTTCATCCTGGATTCCTGGAACCACAGGA